CAATAATAACCAAAAATCTTGACACGGTTGCTGAAGGATGTTTTTTTTATTAGCCTGTTCTGTCGTCCTTTTCCTGCGATCTTTTCTCCATGCAGATCATTCAAAATGAATGAATGAAAGGGCCCGTTTCTTTGGACTATTTATAGGCCAAATATGGCCGTTACGTGAAGTCCGCAAAAGCTGCACCGCATTTTCGGTCGGTTTGTGATTTATAAAAGGGAACCGGGCGTAGGAAGAGCCCCATACGCACTGTTCCTCGCCAGTACGCATGTTTGGTGAATCGAAAAGTGGCGAAACATTTATGACCTAATTTTTTTCGGATTCTAACTACGTAAAGCAAACCTTTCCCAACACGTCAATCCCTAACGAAAACGGCGTTATACATGAGGCCTCCCAGATCTCACCCAATAGAAAATCTTGAGGGAGTTGAAAGTCCGTGTTTGCCCAGCGACAGCCCAGACCAAAAACATTCACTGCTCCGTAGAGGAGTCTGCAAGCGAGGAATGGGCCAAAAATACCAGCAACAGTGTGTGAAAACCTTGTGAAAGACTTTAAGAAAACGTTTTACCTCTGTTACTGTGCCAACAAAGGGTAATCAACAAGTATTGAGATTAACTTTTGTTATTAACAAAATACTTAATTTTCCACCAAAATTCATTTGCAAATAAATTCTTTAAAAAATCAGACAATTGTAATTTTCAAGGATTTTTTTTCTTTCAATTTTGTCCTCATGGTTGAGGTATATACGAGGATGAAAATTGTCAGGCCTCTTCCATCTTTTTAAAGTTGGGCAGAACTGCACAATTTGGTGGCTGAAACTAAATACTTTTTTTGCCCGACTTATGTAAACACATATTTCCAAGGCACTCCATTTAATAATTATTAGGATAATTAAAAACAGGTTTGAAATCATTCCAAATGTATCTATAGGAACAGTAAACCAAAAATCGTTTAAAGTTGGAGAGAACAAAAATATACATAAATATAATAAATGTTAACTTGGTAAAATAAGATATAAAATTGAACAACAAAAATAAAAATAAGTTACATGTATTTGTTATTGGCAATGGTAGGTTATTGGTTTTGTTCACATAATATTCTGATTATTAAAATGTAAGACCCGACTCTTTTTCATATGGGTGTTTTAAGAGTTGTACCCCCTAGATCAGGACTTCTTGGTAATTGTGTGCTCAAAGTGCACAGATTGAAGCCATTTTTAACTTTAAAATTTTCAACAAAAATTTAACCGGGGGGGCATACCCCCGGACCCCTAGAGGAATGTGATGTCACCCTTCCGATTAAAACGATGTTCATACAATACTGAATACATTTGAAGACATTTTGACGTAAATTACGTATGTCAAATAACTTCTGTTTTTGTAAGTGTATTTGTCTTTTGTAGAGATTTTTCCATTTTAATCTTTTATATATAAAATTTTCGCCTAAAATCTCACTTAAGGGCAGCAAAATTGGCTGAACCGGCCCTGGTAATAGGCCTCAAAGAGCCTTTCTTGTGCTGCAAGACTTCATAGAAACAAATTGGCGGGGCGGCACTTCGTACGCACTAAAAAATTTCCACGCGCTCCGCGCTCACACTGTGCTTGGCCCACGTGCCTAGCACCGCTGCTATGACTCCATCCTAAGGGGAAACACTGGTACGTGTTTCTGTACTTCCTCTAAGAAGAACAGACAGTAACAGAAGATCTCTGTGGCCTTCAGGCTTGATCGCCATTCAAATGACAGCGTTGTGTTTCCCCAAAGTGTGCAGGGCTGTAAAAGTTGACCGTAGATTTTACTCATCTATTATTCAAAACCATTCTATTTATTGTTAACGTAAATTACATGCCTGTGTTACTTTTTATTACTTATATTTGTTATACTTTAATTTGCTATGAGTTTATATCTTGAAGCAAATTATGTTTCTGAAGAGGTGTTAGTCATTCAAAACCCCTTCCAAATGTGTAGCATAAAAATGTGAACTCTCATAGAGTGGGCGAAGTCACGCCCCATCAACTTCCGTCCATGGGATTATTTCGGAAAAAAATTATGTATTGAAGTCAATGGAGAAGAGAAAAACTTATCTTTCGATCCCTGTGTTGAATGTGTCACAAATGAACACATATGATGTTTGTCCAATCTTAATAAATAATTTCCATGTCAAAAAAGTCACAGTTTGGTCGTAAAACTGTTGAAATATAAGACTATGAAAAATACGCAAATAGAAAGACTACAAATCCCCGAGTCGCGTAAGTGATGTCATAACTGATGTCACAATTGCTTTCCTCCGCTAAATATAAGAGATAGCTAAGATAAGATAACTTTAACAAGATGCCTGTGTGCTCAGTACCAGGTTGTTATCATACCAGCAATGGGTCTTGCTCGTTCTTTCGCTTCCCGTCTAATGAAAGGACCAGGAGTGGCTGGATCAAGTTAGCTACCTAGCTAGTAGCAAGCACGTTAGTTAGCATTACAATCTTAGCCTTGTCCTTTTTTTTAGCCTTAACATGAAGTAACATCAAGTAACCCAAAATGTTAAACAGTAAGAGTAGTAGTCATATTTCGTGAACCCTTTGAAGAGTACTGTCACACCGGTGTGATCATTCTATAATACACCATTTAAGCCCGGGGGAGAAATGCTAACGCTAATGCTACATTAGCATCGGCGATCTTTTCTACTTCACGCTATCTGCACAAATGGTTGACATTAAACATTAAAAAGATCAGGCAGTTCAGAGAGAATCAAAGGAAGGCAGGCAGGCAGCTTTGCATGACATTCTTCTGTACGTGTTGATAGTGAGGGTAGCCAATAACGTTTTTGACAAGACAGTAGTGACGGCCATCTTGGTGTCTCTGCGAGACCAGTGATGTAGTTCATTAAGCGTTTCACACAAAAAAATGTGTTACTTCACAGTTTTACGACACATTTTAATTTTTTTGACTCGCAAAATTATCTTTTAAATTGACAAACATCATATGTGTAATTTTTTGCACAATTCAAACGGTATCGAAAGATTATCTTTCTCTCTCCATTGACTTCAATACATAATTTTTCCGAAATAAGGTCCCATGGAGCTCCCCCGGAAGGGGAGGGACTTCGCCACTCTATTACAGGAACAATACCGGAAACAGACGTAGGAAAGATCCTCAGCTCGCTGATTGGATGTTTTAGCCGCAATGCACGTTTTTAAAGATATGACTGATTTTCTTTGAATATAAGAATGTAAATACTGAGTTGAGAGAATAGTCAGGGGATTTGGGTGATGGGAGACACATCTATGGAATCACAATTTCAATAGCTTACCATTAAATGACGGATATACCTTTCTGTCTGTGATGTTTTACAAATCAGATATGAATGTGTAGAAGTAAAACATGAGAAATAGTATAGCAATATCCTGTCAAATTATGTAAAAACATGAATAAAACTAAATATCTTCAGATGTTATACATACATAAGTGTCCTACACTAACAATACAAAGTTATTATTAGTATGCTGTGTATACCTTGTGTGCACCACCTAGTGGTTAAAGCACGTTATTGAATAATTTTTGTTGAATAATGTTATTTTTGTTGAATAATGTTATTTGATGAAGAGTACATGCTTTCATAGGGGGAAAGTAGAAGGTCAATGATAGAAATATAGAATATAAAAAATCAAGAAGATACTGTAAGTGATCTCTACAATAAAACAGTTTAGTGCCGGATGTAGATATTAATAGGAGGATGTGCAAAACAAATGTTTTTCATTCATTGCATAACTACACCGTAGTTGTGTATATGATATATCAATAAACCTTTGAAAATCTTAAAATCTTGAAAGGGATGTGCAAAATCCGTTCGGGTCCAGTTTTGGATAGTCTGCCCTGGTTTTGTTCCATTTCATAGTGCTGTTTGGCGCTCGGCGTAACCTTGGCGCACTCCAACATCCAATCCTAGAGCTTGAAGATTAATCAAGGGGTTTTTCAAGCAACGGGACTGTAGTCCCTAATGATAGCTGAGGATTATGGGTAGTGTAGTGTCTTCGGCCATCCTAAACTCTGAAATGTTTTTCGGATTTCATATCACATTAACATCATATCCCAACGTGCATTGCGGCTAAAACATCCAAATCACCGAGCTTCAAGCTGAGGATCTTGGGTAATCAGTGTAGTGGGTGTGTGGTGTGTATCGCAATGATGCTCGAAATGTCCCTTATAGGCCTACGTCTGTTTCCGGTGACATTATTTTGAAATTCAGTTCCTGAGGAACGGCTAAAAAGCCCAAGATTATAGAATCAAACGAATAAATAAAAACAAGGATAATTGTTTGTTATTGTTCAAGGCACACCAGTGTGTTATTTAGAAAAGAATAACAAATTAGAAGGAAACAAATATTTAAAAAATACAGATTTCAGTATTCTGAGGTTCTGAGCCCCATTTCTTTTCCTCACAGACGGCAAAAAAAGTCCGACATTATACGATTTAAAATAAAAACAATAATCGTGGCTTGATATTAAGAACATGTTTTTATGAACCACACAGCTTCCGGTCTACCAAGACCCGAACGGACAAAACGTGGTGTATCATATGCACGCAAAACTCAGCCTCAGAACTCAATGGGAATGGTTAGCGTATCATATGCACACAAAATCGGACTTCTGCGTATCTATTGCACGCATTTCCAATGTGTAAAGTCGTGTCATTTGTACGCAGACTGGAGAGAGTGGGTTGATATAAATATAGAGCGTTCGAGACTAGCTGGTGAACACAGTGGAGCATCTCGCGGCTAAAGATCAGATATTTCCCTGCGGAGTCTGATAAAGTATCAGACATACTGTATGTTGGCCTGGTGGACAAAAGCATGACAGATGCATACATGTTGCTCTATATGTGTTGCAAAATGGCCTAAAATTTGAAAGGGATGATACTGTATGTGTTCATACTCTGTTTAAAGCCCCTAATTTGGTTAAATATCTGTTCAACTTTTATATTTTTAACGGTCCAAAACTGTCAGTTTTGTTTTTTTATTAATGTTCTGATGGTGTGGCAGGACAGCAATGTAGTACCTTGTTAAAAACACACACTTTTTTAAATGTGAAATCTGTAGACATAATACATTTATTAAAGTCAACGTTTTGGATTGTTGGTGTAACAATGCGGCCATATGTTATTACAAAATGCATTAGAGTATTCCACTGTACATTATTTCATTTTACATTCTTTTTATCTCAATTAATTATGTATTAGTTTACTTTGATAGTTTACTACAAGTGGCCTGGGACTTGACATTT